ACAAATGACAACAAATGAAAATCTCAAATTCATCATATCAGAAAATTAGAATATTGTGAAAAGGTTCAAAATTGATGGCCCCTGGTGCCACACTCTAATCAGCTAATTAACTCAAACCACCTGCAAAAGCCTTTAAATGGTCTTTCAGTCTAGTTCTATAGGCTACACAATCATGGGGAAGACTGCTGACTTGACAGTTGTCCAAAAGACGACCATCGACACCTTGCACAAGGAGGGCAAGACACAAAAGGTCATCGCTAAAGAGGCTGGCTGTTCACAGAGCTCAGTGTCCAAGCACATTAATAGAGAGGCGAAGGGAAGGAAAAGATGTGGTCGAAAAAAGTGTACAAGCAAGAGAGATAACCGCACCCTGGAGAGGATTGTGAAACAAAACCCATTCAAAAATGTGGGGGAGATTCACAAAGAGTGGACTGCAGCTGGAGTGAGTGCTTCAAGAACCACCACACACAGACGTATGAAAGACATGGGTTTCTGCTGTCGCATTCCTTGTGTCAAGCCACTCTTGAACCACAGACAGCGTCAGAAGCGTCTTGCCTGGGCTAAAGAGAAACAGGACTGGACTGCTGGTGAGTGGTCCAAAGTCATGTTCTCTGATGAAAGTAAATTTTGCATTTCCTTTGGAAATCAAGGTCCCAGAGTCTGGAGGAAAAGAAGAGAGGCACTTCATCCACGTTGCTTGAAGTCCAGTGTAAAGTTTCCACAGTCAGTGATGGTTTGGGGTGCCATGTCATCTGCTGGTGTTGGTCCATTGTGTTTTCTGAGGTCCAGGGTCAACGCAGCCACATACCAGGAAGTTTTAGAGCACTTCATGCTTCCTGCAGCTGACCAACTTTTTGGAGATGCAGATTTCATTTTCCAACAGGACTTGGCACCTGCACACAGTGCCAAAGCTACCAGTACCTGGTTGAAGGACCATGGTATCCCTGTTCTTAATTGGCCAGCAAACTCTCCTGACCTTAACCCCATAGAAAATCTATGGGGTATTGTGAAGAAGAAGATGCAATACACCAGACCCAACAATTCAGAAGAGCTAAAAGCCACTATTAGAGCAACCTGGGCTATCATAACACCTGAGCAGTGCCACAGACTGATCGACTCCATGCCACGCCGCATTGCTGCAGTAATACAGGCCAAAGGAGGCCCAACTAAATACTGAGTGCTGTACATGCTCATACTTTTCATGTTCATACTTTTCAGTTGGCCAACATTTCTATAAATCCTTTGTTTTTATTGGTCTTCAGTAATATTCTAATTTTCTGATATGATGAATTTGAGATTTTCATTTGTTGTCATTTGTAATCATCAAAATTAAACAAAATAAACATCTGAAATATATGAGTTTGTATGTAATGTATGAATATAATATACAAGTTTCACTTTTTAAATGGAATTACTGAAATCAATCTACTTTTTCATGATATTCTAATTTTATGACCAGCACCTGTATATATATATATATATATATATTGTTTTTATTTTTTATATTTTTTTTTTATTATTTGTGTATGTGACATATGTATATGTCAAGAAAAACAGTTATTGGATTTGGGTAAAATAATTTCTTTCTTCCTTTTGGAGGGGGGTTCTGTAGTTCTGAGTGAGATTGATCTGCCCTTTTTTTTTTTTTTTTTTTTTTTTTTTTTAGAAGTGTAATAAAAACAGACAAACCAGCTCTTTCCATAAGTAGTTTGTGTTTCGTATTTTCAATATTTGGAATGCCAAAGCCTGCAAACGTATTGTTACGCAGAATGATTTAAGTTGCGCTTTGAAGTCAGATCAACACCCTGAGGGGATTATTAAGATAAGAGTAAGTTTATGAAAAGTGACTTCTGTCATTTGTCATTCATTTTCCAGAGACTGAATGGTGAAAAAAGATGGTTGACGGATTGGGTAGATAAATAATAATATCTTGTTTTAAAACTATTATCTCCAGCGCTACTTTAAAAGAAGCTGGTTACATTTCTGTACATTTCCATCTAAAGATTAGTAATAAAGTATGAGGAACTTGAGTTGAAAAAGCAGCTGGAAGACCAATATAAGGCATCTATTAAACAAATGTTCGATTTAGATGTTTAGAATCCAAAACATGACAGTTGCTACATGTGTATTGATTAGGATAAATATGAACGTCTGTTTCTTAGTTTTCACTGCGCAACGCTCCTCATAAAGAAGCATTCATTTTTGAAAAATAAATATTTTCATAATGTGTAATAGTTACTGAAAACAAATAAAGAAAATGCAGTTCCAAAACAATAATTATTTATTGCATCATTACATTAGCAGGAAGTTATATACTTTCCAAAAAATGTAAACTTGTGTGTTACTTTTGAAGTAAACTTACATTTGCTGGAAATGTATTACATTTGTGGGATTATTACATTAAAAGCTGCTACGTTTGCAGGAATTATTACATTTGTGGGTGTTACAATGTTACTGATACAGAATTCTGATACTCAAATGTTTGTCATACCTGTGAAAAAGTATAAAAAAATATGTAGCTAACAAAACAGAACTAGATCATGAACCAGGCGATTCCCTGAAACCTATTTCCTGAAAGTTTTTAAACATTTTACATCTGCTTAAAACAGGACTAAGAAAAACATTTTACATTTTGTTCACTGAGTAAAGGCCCAAACATATAAGGCTACAGCGCCATTCAGATTCTGAATCAAATCATTGCTGAAATGTTAAGGGTCTCCTCAAGTAATTTACTGCTTTTTCCTGTTTCTAGAGAGTTCATGGACATGTGAGGGAGAGAACAAAGAGTAAGGGCAGGATGATTTATATACTTTACTAACAGTGTAACAGTAGTATTTGTGTTGAAATCCCTCCTGTGAAACTGTTCAAGATCATCTCATCGAGTCAACTAGATGACATACTCATCTAACCCTGTGGAAAGTTTTTCTTTTTATTTAATTGCTAGAGCTGAGTTTCTACTGGTGACGTCAAATAAATGTCAGAGAATTCTCCCTTCGAGTCACTCGTCCCAGGCATGCTGAGCAGCTTCAGTCCCAGGCTTACTTTAGTAAATTACTGATGCCAGAGGATAGAGCTCTGTGTTTACAAGCCCAGTGAGAATCAGCTGCAAAGCAAAAGGCACAGAGATTTACGTATCTGGTGACACACACTGGGGCATTTTAGCAGGATGATTCAGCTCAGTTACTCTTTCAAACATCTGCTGAAATGCTGTTCCTCCCTCCATAGCACCCTGTTCATGGAAAGACTGATTGCACCCCAGATGGTGATGCAACCTGCTGAACTGTAACTCTTGGAACATGCATGTCCCTCAAAGCCATCCGAGACAGCCCCACATGGACACTCTAAACCAAATCATAATCCTTTATCTTCTAAATCCTGACATCCACATGCTCATCTCTGTCCAGAAGGACTCTCTCTGTCTCCTTCTGGACCAGCCGGACAGACAGCAGAGAAAACTAATTCAGTTATAACTTTCTCCCTTTTCTTTTACTGCTTCTTTCTCAATTTAATAACTGCTTTCAGATTACCTCTACACTCAATCCCTGAATACAACCTGGGAATTTAACAGAGTAAAACCGTTTATCCGAAGAGAGTCCTTGATTATAGCCATATTTTGCATCTCAAAAAGGTGCAAATCTGTTTTGCAAACATAAATTATTTATGACTGAAAAAAAGCATAACAATTGTTTTGCACTGACCCACTTTAGGAGAATTATTCAGCTGGTGTTAAACCATTTAACCATTTTGTTGTAATTCAGTTCTCAGCTTCTCACTATTAACTGTCTATAAGGTTGTTTCAGTTTGGGGCTGAACAGCAAAAGTGCCCAGATCTGGCATAACATTATGGCCGCCTGCATTATAGTGTGTTGGTCTAAAAGCTAGACTCCTATAAACCCATTAAGAGCCCTTCTGCCGAAGGGCAACTTCAACTACTACTACTATGTTAGCAGCATGTTGTAAGGAGAGGCATCTATTTATCAGATTTGTTTGCTCAGCACATCCAACAGATTCTCTATTGAACTGAGATTTGCAGAATTTAAAATCCAAGTAAACACCTCCAAAAAACTGGAGCTCCTGAAACAAATTACCAAACACATCCCTGATACAGCTAGTGGCCTTACTGCTGGATGTGTACTCTCCTCAACAACATCATTCCAACTGTGTCTATCAGGTGTGTTTCCTTCATCATATTTTTGATTCTTTGTTGAAGAGTAATAAACATATTTTAAGTGTCATTATAATGACATTCGCAGCAGCTGCCATATACAACAAAAGGTGTTGGGCTCCACATTTTGGGACTTTTAGGTTTTTATGCTTCAGTGGTAGCCGACCTTCTCCACATCAACTTCCACCTCAGAAAGCCCTTCATCTCTTTCAGCTGAATCATAATCATCACAATCGTATTGTTAAATGTTTTAACTTTGAGAAGATTTTACTGGGTGTCAGAAACTCAAAACCAAACTGGCCTTAAATGCCTGGATGTGTTCTTTGTTTTTTTCAAACAGTCAGAGAGAGGCTTATAATTGTAGCTAAAATGGTTGAATGGTAAACTGGCTGTGGAAAATTTACCACTTGTGTGATTGTGATTTGGTATTTTATCTTATGCCTGTATCAAAACTGACCCTCACAACACAAAGTTCAAAAGTTTTACCAGTGTATTTTATATTTTAGTGAAACAGGCTTGAATTTAAATAGTAGCTGGTGACAAAATCAAATGGCCTTGATGCAATAACCAGATTTAATGAAGAGAGGATGGATGATGGTAAACAGCCTTTGATTAGTTTTGTTTTCTCTCAGAAAGCTCATGACACATCTGTTTAAAGGTCCCCCATGTCATCTGACAGCCAGACATCAGGGACATCAGCCCCCCAGAGAGTGGGTGCCTTAAAAATAGGACAATAATTCTCCCTGCAGTACAACACAGTGTCACTTCAATGTTGGGAGTAAATGTGTGTAGGAAATTCAAACCTGAAAAGGCGGAAATGTCTAGATGAACTTACACGTGTCCGGTCTCATGAGCCACAACAAAAGCAGAAGAGAAACCATCTTCATGGTTCAGGGTGCAGCTCCGAACTGGGTGGCACATTCCAGTGACAGGGGCGTAACCTAAGGAAAGGTTAAAGGAAAATTAGAGGCATCTAGATCAGATGAAAGGTTTTAATCCCAACATGTTTCCCTCTGAGTAGATCTTCAAACATATATTAGGATGTTTTTAAGCAATAAATCATTAGTAATCAATATTTTGATTTCCAAGTGAACTTTTTCATTATATAACAATGCATGATAGAGTTAGGACCCTTCAGACCTTAGACAAAAGGCTTTTTGAGGTCCAAAAGTTCCAATATCAATTAAAGTATAAGAGCTTTAGTAGGTACAGTGAGTAGGTACAGCAGTCACCGTTTGTAAAATACAGAAAACACTAATACATATTCCGTTGCAAAATAAACATGATCACACACAAAAAAAAAACAAAAAAACAATAAATATACAATCAAATGAAACTGTTCACTTACTGTTACAAGCCAAAGAATAGAAGTGGCTTTTTTGATTTTCTACCATGACAGGCTTTGGAGCATGCCCTATGGATGCTCAATAAAACACACACACACACACACACACACACACACACACACACACACACACACACACACACACACACACACACACACACACACACACACACACACACACACACACACACACACACACACACACACACACCCACCCACACAAAATTATAAAGGCTCAAATAAATGCTAAAAGCAGAGAGTTCGATAAACAACTATACAAATTAAAAGATGGACTCGAAACCAGACTAAAGGTGGTGAAGCAAAGCAAAAATTAATGTCAGGTGCCATGCTCTTGCTTCCTTGTTGAAAAGTCATGCAGGAGGACCCAAAACTATTATCTCACTTTGGAATAGGATCAACTGGACAAGACTTGCACCGTTCTGGAGCTAATAGAGGACAGCTGGAGAGCAGAGCGAGCAGCCGGACAGAGGGAGCACCTGTAACGGATCTGGAGCTCCAACAGGGGGAACAACCACAAACTTCTAAAGAGCACTCTTTACTTCATCATATACCAACATTTTTTTCTTTTTTCTAACTTTCAATTTTGATTAAAAATGTTTTGTCTCCACTGCCCTCTCCAGGTCTCATTGGTTGATAAGATGTGAATTGACATAAAAGTTCAGATTTATCAATTGAAGGGGAATTCAGTAGCGGTAAGGCACCATATGGGAGTGCCTGGCCACCCAAAGGTTTGCCCTTCGGCTGAGCGACATCAGACCTTATCAGTCGCTGCATTGCTGCAGCAGCTGCAACTCTGTGTCGGTCTTTCCCCGACTCCAGTTCCATCATCTCGGAGCAAGGATGCAAATATTTGAACACTTCCACTTGTGGCAGGAGCTCCCTCCGAGCTGGAGAGAGCAGGCAAGTCTTTTAAGGACTTGGGAAAAAAAAGGCAGAATCCTTTGCTTGGAAAAAAAAAAAAACTTTGAGCAAAACTGATTTTTAAATGTTGGGTTGTTAATCTGAACAGAAGCCACCATGCTACCATTTTGTCCTCATCTGATTAAGTTTACAGGTGGCTAAATATTTTTCTTTTCCAGCACCCAAGAAGGTAGGTTATTAACAGGCTTAAAATTTGAAATAACTGTAGGGTCAGATTAATATTTTTATTTTCAACAAGAGCAGCAAAAAATTTTTTTTTCAAAGCTTCATATAAACATCAAACAGAAGAGGAGTATGTCCATCAACCTTATCTGAAAACAGTCTCCCTAAAAATGTTTTGTTGCTCTTTTTCCTTCTCCATCTTTGCTTTGTTCCTTCCCTTGTCTGTTTGATCGATGTTTTTCATGACACTGTTCTGAATTACTGTGATATACCCTTTACATCATATCTTAAAGGAAAGCCGAGATTCAAAATGTTCTGTCAAGTTTAGAGTTTTTAAAACTGAGTAAACTCATGGAGGTAAGTTTAAAGTTCTCCAGACCCAGCTGTAGGGAAAAGGGCCATAGCTCTGCTACTACAGTTTTAAGAAGAGGTGGCGGGATTTATTTCTGTTTATGGAAGAAAGTACATATTTGTTTTAGCAAGATGGAAAAATAAATCAATCATCTACATTATTTTTCATTGCAGTGTCCTTGTGGAGTTGAACTGAAAATATCCAGCACCACTGTGTATTAAAACTTTAGTTTTTTTTTTCTAAAACCCTTAAAGGACTTGAATACCTTTTCATCATAAGATCTAGCTTTCTGAAAACCAGGGCAGGAATAACTTTCATAAAGTAGGTCAGATCTGAGTGTATTTCTCTAATTCTGGGTACAATGTCTGTTTACATGTCACTTTTGCATCCAGACCCTGATGGTACGTGAGATGATCAGTGCACAATGAGACAGGTATGCACAGCAGGACACTTGTCACAGAGGAGAGAAACTTGACAGCTTTAGATTTACAACTTATATCTAGCATAACTTTCCTTAAATGTCATACTAAATGCGAGCTCATGCATTATTGGATAAGGTAAAAAAAAATACACTATCAACAAGAGCCTGCAGCAAACTGAAACAAGAAAAACTGATGTCTGGTGTCTAGCTAGGAATCAGTGTTTATTGTGTAAAATAAAAAATAAATAAAAAAATCTCAGTTCACAATAAAAAGTAATGTGAACTGAGATTTTGCTGTATTTACTTTAACAGCATTCCTTTTCTGTTATTTTCAAATATAGAAAACAACAACAAACCTTATCAGAACAGGAAGTCAAGCTGTAATTCAGGGGTTAATGCAGGATTGAGAAAGAAAGGAGTGGTTATTGTTAAACTTCTAAACACAGAGTTTTACAATACGGCAGAATAAAAGCATAGTTTTATACGCACACACACACACACACACACACACACACAGAAAAACTTGTCTCAGTATCTTTGTAGGTTCTTTTCCATTGACTTCCATTACCTGTGACCCTAACCCTAACCCTAACTATTACGAGTTCATCATGTTTTTGCAGCTTTTATAATTTATTGTCATTTTTCACCTACTGGCCACCATAGAAAACCTAATCGATGTTTCCTGTGTTTATCTGTTTATCCAAACCAAAAGATTAATAAGTCCTCCCAAAAGAAAGACAATAGTCCCAATGTCATGATCTTGGCACTGATGACTGGCTTTGATGCTGACTCCATTCACCTGTCTAGCTCTGCCCCACTTCTAATCACTCCTTACCAGTGTTGGGAAAGTTCTCTTTCTACGTGAACTAGTTCAAAGTTCAGTTCACTCATTTTAAAATGAACTAGTTCAGTTCATAGTTCATAATTCAAAACCAAAAAATGAACTACTTCATAGTTCTTTTTTTTTTTTTTTTCATATATTGCTCAATTACACCATAGCCTACTGTAGAACCACAGCCAGCAATTATTTTATCAGTTGTAACTCTGAAACTGTGCGTCAGATTTCATCTTCATATCCAGTTTTGAATCCTTATCCAACCAGGGTTTACATTAGCATTGAGGGGACAGCATTTCCCCATTGTTGCTTTAATGCTTTGTTGCTGTCCATTCACTTCACACTAGTAGCAGCTGCAGCTTTCACCCCTGCAGTATATTCTCAAAAACATCAGGAAAAATGTGCTGCTTGAATGGTCTTTTCTATGAGTAATTATTAAAAGAAAAACAGGAAAGTAGTCTTTAAGGTGCAAATGTTTTTTTTTATTTTAATAATTTTTTCCATTTGAAATTCCATTTCAATACATACTAAAAAGGAATACTGGAATCCTGGAAAATTATACCAGGCAGGTTTAACAAACAAGTTACATGGATAGTAAAACCCTCAAGAACAGGGGTCTTCTATGTTTTCCAGACCAAGGACCCCCAAACTGATGGCGAGATGGAGCGGGGACCCCCTAACTATATATATTGTATGAAATTGTGTCCTATAGTCACTCTATTACAGATGGAGTAATGTAAAGAAATTAATTTCTCCCTGGGATTATTAAAGTTTTTCTGATTCTGATTCCTGGTTGTTGTGAAGGAAACGGTGCCCAGCTTGAAAGAGCTCCTGTGTGTCGCTGAATGTGTGCATTGATGACTGAAAGACATCTTTTGTCTCCATTTATCTGTTTACTACAGTGTGTTGATTTCATGTTAATGAGTATTTAAAGACATTTCAATTAGTGGGGGGAAAAATTGCAGGGGGGGAATATAAAAATATCAACTAACCATGCAGACCCTCATGCAGTACCTCCGTAGACCCCCTAGGGGTCGCGGATCCCCTGTTGAAGACCTCCGCTCAAGAAGATTTTACTAACACAAACTGAGGGACCAGGCTGAGGTAGGAATTTAAGGTTACTGAAGTGCGGATTTTTTTACTGAAAGCCGGCGGGCAAACTTGTTGCCATCATCCTCACCGACCACCTGGTCATAAAACTGTTTTAAGTGATCATACTGCTGCTTTGTCGCCTCCATGCTGCTGTGGCTTCCACACGGCATTTTGTTTTGATGACGCACGCGGCTGTAGGCTACGACACTGGTAGCTGGTGTTGCCAGATTGGGTGTTTTTCCCGCTACATATTAAGGCCTGTTTACGGTGTGATTTAGCTGGGGTTTCGCCTGGAGGGCTCTATAGAAATCTGGCAACCTATTGAACGGAGCTGAACTGAGAGAGCGTGCCGTTCACAGACACCAGAATGAACGAGTTCACAATAACGTTCATCAGGCAGTAATGCAGTACGTTCAGTTCACGTTCGCCCAAAATATGAACGAGTTCATGAACTTTCGTTCAATGAACGCGTTCAGGCACAACACTGCTCCTTACCACCTGCTCCTGCCTCTATTTAATGGGCTTGCATCCAGTTATCAAGGCCAGATTATTCTCGTTCTCATCTGGGACACTTTGACCCACCGGCTGGATCCTTCCTCATTCTCAGGACACGGGCTGAACTGTTAAACCAGGTTAGTTCATATCATCTGTTGGATTTACATGGTAACTAACCTGTGTTTCCTTTTACAAAATTTCCTGTTATAGACCCCCTAGGTGCTGCTACTCAGATCATCTGTGTTTTTAATAAACGCTTTTAAATGATCCCACTGTCTGTCTTGCCTCGAATAATGG